GTGCAGATATACTCGTTCCGACGAGTGGTGCGACAATCGTCGTTGCTGCTCCTGAGGTAACACCGATGTAGAACGCTTCCAGATTTGGCTCCACAGCAATTGAAGCAATCTTGCACCAGCTTCAGTCCGTCGTGAGGTTTGTGGGAGACGCTAGCGTCTCTACAGTGAACAGCACGAACAAAGAACCTCGGAAAGTCCAAGCTTGGTGATTCTGTTTTGCTATCAGCAAATGAAATACAAGATGGGTTCGTTACAAACCTCGGTGTCACAAAGCTAATACCGCAATATATTGGCCCATTTAAGATCAATAACGTTAAGGGTGACGCCTACGCACTGATTATTTAATCGTCGACGCGACTCTATCCAGTCTTCAACTTTGTTTGTCTAGAGCGTTACTGGCCGGCGGTTTTCCGATGACGGTTGAATCACCGCGGTGCGTACCGCGGTCCCCGATAGCGTGGTGCTATCGTTAGATCAGGCTACACAACACCGTGTTGTTTCGACGAAGAGAGACATCGATTGTTCTAGACGTTCAATACGTTGCGTAATACAGCGATCGCAGACGATGTCTCCTCAGCAATGTTCTCCGTAGCCTCGGCCAGATCACGCGCCTGAATCGCATCATGGTCAAAGAAGTTCATCCGCCGATAGGCCTCCTGCAGCATTTAGCAATTGGTTCAGTTTCAGCGCAGGACTTTCAAGATTCTGCGCCAAGTGAAACGTTTCAGCGTGATCCTCCACCATTAGTTGATCTCGAAGAAAATCGTCGCTGACTAGTTAGCGTATTATGGACCATAGGAACCCGCCACAAATCGGTCATGGTGACGCTTACGTTCTACACGGCCGCGTTCCAAAAAACGGCATTACTGCGTTCTCTGACTCGGATTTCCTCCTGATAGCGACTCGTGGGACTTTGCACAACACTCTTGGCAGACATTTCAGGTATCGTGAGCGACTATTAACGCAAGGTGAGCGAGATCGACAGCGTCAAATAGCTCTCTACATTTAAGGGAATCCGTGTGCGAGAATGAGCTCTTGGGTTTGGTGAAGAGTCACCTTCCACATTCATGTTTGCTCGACTCATTGGATGCGCGCGCCGGTACTCGTAAAAGGTTCTGTACCCCAATGCCGCTTATAGACCTTCCCTCACCTTGTGTGCCCGTCGGCGGGCGTGTTGCACTCTTCGTAAGACTTGGTGAAGATGTAGATGTTGGCCTTGCAAAAGGTCAAACTTGGGGTGCCTCGAGCGGATAAACTTCATTCGGTAGACTACTAGTAGGTGGCCATTTGGAGGACTTGGTTGACTGTAGACTCATAAATAAAATTTTCAGGGAAGATTCTTGATCCTGGCTTTTCCTGACTTATCTCAGCGGAATTAACCGCCTGGCCCTTACTTGCTCCCGAACCACTAGGGTAGAAAAAACGGTTCTATTAGCGGGTTGATTGAAAATGTGTGTGCTACCCAATAAACCCACAGGCCAAATGTATAAGCGTGACGTAGTCGTTCAATGGCAGTACCACCGGATCCGATGTTAGTTACGTCCGACCCCTTGGTGACCGGGTGTGTAATGATGCAGGATGTCCGTTTGGAGACTTTTAGGTATCACAAATCTGGCTGTCAAATCTCGGTCGTCTCCCTCGACCCTCTGGACGGAGCAATAGACTAGTATCCCCTCTTTGCTTATCTTGTAGTCCTGGCCATCTTGCTGCATGATCGAGCAGATCCACCAACAGGTCGACTCACTTTCATTTTAAAAATTGCTTTCGAATCTTGCACCCAGTCTTCTTGCTCTTGTACTTCTCTGATTTGATCCGCTTGGGGTTGTTGTACCACGTCCTCTTGCATAACCTTCCCTGATATTCTGATGGGGGACCGTGATCAGGTGACTGCAAACATCTTGTTTTATAGACTTTGGTCCTTAGGAACTAGCAACTGTGGCAATCAATTCATCGCTTTTAGATCTGGCCATCCTCTGCCGGTATTGACTTGATTGTTGTATACTGGCGTAAGGCCGTACTAGCTAACTGGTCGGCACTCTAGTTCAATCACGTTATAAGTGTACAACGCCTTGGGTGGCCATAAAAACAGCTTATTCATAGCTCTTGCTCGTAACGGGGACAACCCCCGAAACTTTACTCGATCCCCCGCCTCATTTTTCATACCACCACGTTAGAGTCCTTACCGATGATCCGTCACCGCCTCTAAAAGGTCAAAACCCAGTAACATGCCCTCAAATTTGACCTAATTAATTGTAGATGTTACGAGGTATTTGAGGCAGCCTTGACTATAGTCCATGTGAGAATTCTCATACAATAACGCTACAGGCTTTACCTCCCTGTTTCACACAGGCCGACCCATCAACATTCATTACATATAAATTTTCGTCGGGCTCCACCGTAGGCGTAGGTAGGTCAACCATTTGTCACGTTGTTTCTCAAGAGCAATTGACGACAAAATCGAATTTGCACTTTTGTGAGAGGTAATACTGGCCGCCAGTGCCCTCAATACTTGGCCCTCGCCCTTCTTGCACTTCAGAATCTCAATAGTCCACTGGGACAAGAAGGCGGCTCATATTCTTAGGCATCTTTGCAATTTGGTAAGGTGTACTATTGACTAAAGGTGCTATCAGGTGTAGCAGAGCTACTGTAGCTAAGCAATTAATGTACTAAAACTAACTTGACAAGCTTGTGCCTTTATCGTTGCAACAGCCACGTCTAAATGAGACCAGTATTAGAGATACTACAAGGACTAATGCTCTAGCAACAAGTGCCATATAAAGCCTTTATATAACTGACTTATTTAATGTTAACTTCTGGCACTAGAAGCACCTACTCTATACTTAGTGCTAGGACCCTGTAGCCTCCTAATATGTAAACATACGTATTTATAATACTTGAATTAAGTATAATGACCATGTGGCTTTCTGCTACGATTCGACCCTTTGTACCATTGACATTAACCTACCAGGGTACCCAGGGTTCAGCACACCACAATGGTGTGGCAGTTGTGTATGTACAATACGCACCTTATGTAACCCCGTTACGGTTACAAAAAGGCTTGTATTATACACAACAAATGTCTTCTTATCCCACGCAAAAAGCAAGCTTAAAATAAAGTGTGTAAGTCCACATTCGCGTAACAACTCCACAGTCGTACAACCTGTAGACGCTGCTTGCATATAAGCCGAGATCGTGACGCCAGCACCGCAGAGAATGAGCTGACTTTTTCTTAACTCATCTACACCCCATCGTGCTGCAATGCTGCTTCGGTTAGAGCGCAGCGATCGGGAATATTACTAAAAAAAGAAGCAAGCAATTAAACGGCAAGCAGGACGCAACAGACCAAGCTTGAAGATTCTCAATTTATTCACACAAGACGCGTAGCCTACGCGTCGCAAGTAATGCAAGATGTTGCTCTTGCAACAGGGTGTAATGGTAAACATCGATTGTTAAGTAGTGTTTTTCGACTTATGTGCTTGTGATGCCTCTTGATTGGACGCGTTGCGGAGATCTTGCGGGTTGAAGAGGGTATGTTAAGACACTTATTATGTTAGCGCCTGTGCTTTAAGACAGAACGACGTGCTCTATGATCTATACCAGCGTGCTGAGCTTCATTGCCTTCAAGCATCTCGACGAGCCTGTGCTAGTGATAAACGTGCAGGAACAAACGTCGCAAGACATCTCAAGAACATGACGCTTTGTTGGAGCTTTTGATAGCAAATGGATGGTTTGGAGAATAATGTATAATTTTTTTATTGGCAGACGAGCTTTTTGTCATCTGTCAGCCGTGCCAACCTGTTGACTCAAGCATAAGGTGCAGCAAATGTATGAGTCCAGCTGCTTTCTTACACATTTAGTATCAAGCGATGCCTCCTGAGCAAATTTACTGGTGTGTAAATTTCTGGTCGTGTCATGATGTTAATGACAAGTGAACATGCTCAGTATCTTCTATCAAATGTTTATTGTGGCCGAATGATTTTCAGTCCGTCAGAGACACTGAAATACTTCTTGACTTTGCGCTTTGCATAGTGCTGTCTATAACAAGAAACATTTCAATGTTTTCATGTAATGTTTGTCTCTGAGGGCTGCTTTAGCTATCGTAATGTTGTTTATAGCCTTTCTAGTATTCTCATTACTTATCAAATTCATCACAAACGCCACTTTCCATGCCGATCTGAACCAGCGGAATTTTTCTCTCCAGTCTGTGCTGGGCTGTTTAAGATAAAAATGTTACGATCAAACGCACATCCTAAAAGGCTGGTCTGTCGTTGCACTCTAACTGTAATCTGGTTTCTTGTAGTCTTGAGTCTTGACAACCGAACAAGAATACTGAGTCTGTCGTTGCATTTTGTTGAGAGAAATCATATCAAATAGAACACTGAATGAGCAATTACGGTGTTCAATGGTAGCTAGCCCAAACCTCCTAGCTAGTGCAAGTTTTCTAGTACCATGGAATGCCGTATTGGATTTGTTCAGACCAAAGGGTTCACGCATCAAGCATATCAAACCACCTCTTCGTATAGATAAAGCAGTCTGTTTTGTATCAATTGACATAACTGATACTTTGCCCATTAGGGCCACTATTGGATAAAAATTATATGCTAACGACATTCGACGCTACAGTCGGTCGTCAGATTTATTCAGCAAATCTAAGCTGCCACCCACCAGAAAGGAGACCTTAAAAAGGTCAACGACTTCGATCAAACAATTTTGCTGGAAAAGACGGACAGCTTACCCCAACAGAATAAAATTCTATGCTAAAACATGGCAGTAATACTTCGACGCTACAGTTGGTGGTCAGATTGTTGAGAAAATTTGCGCTACCACCCACCAGAAGAAGACTTAAACGATTCAACGACTTCGATCAAACGATTTTGTTTGAAAGGACCACAACTTTTCGTTCCAATTAACAACCGAAATCACAAGATCAGTATAGTCTTACGTAATATATCATATTTCATTTTTTATACGAAGCCACAAGCCGACGGAATACTACCATAATGCGTCTCGATTTGATTCTCCTCATGGCAGCTATCAAACAATTTCGCTGTGTCGATACACTGTCCGCTTGGCCAACACCAGCATTTGCACAACCAACACAGTCGAATAGACATACTTTTCCTGCCCAACGGTCGCTGCGAGACGGCACGGAGGCAGACGCAGAGGAAAGGGGTTTCAAGGAGTGGACATCTAAGGCTGCCAAAATGTTTGGATTAGGTACCTCAAACTATGAGTCTTTGTCGAGAACTTTCACGGAGGATGAAGCGATATTGAAGCGACTGAAGCTTCATAAGTCTACTAATTGGCTAAGAAGTAAGAAATTATTCAAATATAGGGATGAAATGATAGAGAAATATGGTAATGACGAAGCGTATGTTGTAATGGCGGATGTTTTGTCTACTTGGCGCGGTGAAACAACATTTTTGCTTGATTTGGCAGCTGGCAATGCGGAACCAATTGCAAAACGATTAGGGACGGCGATGGGGACAGTTTGGCTCAATCGAAACAAGGAAGAGGGTGAAATCCTCCGTTTATTGTTGTCTCTCACAACTCCTGATGAACCAATATTTACTGGGAAAAATTTGCTAGACCATCCACTCTTCTCTATGTGGATCGATTTTGTAACTTTGAAGACCAAGGACACAAATAACTTCGATGAAGTATTGGCGAAGGTGTTTATGTCTACCTTAAACGATGAACACATTAGTAATACGTTGGAAGCTGCACGGAAGGAAAGAAATTCCCAGGTTGCGTTTGGATTGGAGATAGCATCCCTGGAGAGACGTAAGGGCGCACTAACCTTAGCACAGTCTTTTGAATATTTGAATCTGAACTACCGTTCTCTCGAATTCCAGTTACGCAACAAAAAGTTCAAGTATTGGGTTGATTATGTCGGGGATGAAGAGGCGGTAAAGTTTCTTGTAAATCTTCCCAAAGATTTTGCCACTGCATCACCAAATACTCGCAAAGAAATAGATACTGCGAAAAGATTGGAATCGGCTCGACGAGATACACACGCGGCTGCACTTGCGGAAAGACTACAAAATGCGCAGATGAAGGCTTGGACAGAGGGGGAAGACTTCGCAACAGTGGCGCAGGTCTTCGACAAATTGAGCAATGGCGAAGGTTTTATTAGCTATGGTGAAGTTCTACCAACGTTTGACGTGTTGGTTAGGTTTGCGAAATATGTAAACAACGATGAGAAAGTGGCCATGAAAGCACTAGTTCAGGCTTTCGTTAGTGAGAAGGGTGAATACGGAAGTATTATTACTTTGCTAACAAAACTTTCCAACATGAAAGAGCCAAATCCTAACGAATCGGCTTTAATGGAAGCGGTAACAAATTCGTGGAAAGATGATGCAATGGATCCAAAGGTCGCTTTGTCAATGTTGCCGATTAACCCAAAAGATCCAAAGCTGCTCAATACTTCGACCTTTAAAATGTGGAGCGACTATATGAAGCAGAACTTCCATGACTCCGAAAATCAAATGACAGCGATACTATTCGAGAAATTTGACCCTTACGAGTTTGCATTGATAGTGGGAAATGCCAAACACCTTGATGTTAAAGATGAAGTGCTTGTGAACGCATTACAAAAGTATCAGGAGAATTGGGTGCAAAACAACTGCCCAACTGTAGAAGACGCTTTCAACTATCTGAAGGTCGACCAAGGCGGTAGAGGAACAGTTTTTCCTCTTAGCGAAAAAACTGCCACCTCATCGTCGTTGGAAAAGCCACCTAGTGATTCGCTGATAACTACTCCAGTTTTCAGAATGTGGTTCACTTATATGAACAACCTCCACGGCGATAAGGCAGATGAACAAATGGTGCTTTTTCTGTCGAAGCTTTACGATACAGACATGCGAGGATTCTTAAGGATGCTAGAGACCAAGAGTTGGCCGGATCTTGTCATTACAAAAGATGCTGCCATTACAAAAGATATTGCGACAAAACTACAGAATGCGCACCTACGTATCTATAAGGAACAACAAGAAACACCAATTTTGGCGATGATGGACTTGTTACATCTCAACACAAACATGCATCAGATTTTGCAGTACGATCACGTTGACAATCGAATCATGATCAAACTTGTGAAACACCTTCAAGATCCCGACAATAAGAAGGGTATGACGGACGGAGCGGCTATTGCGATTGCATATGCAGACATTTTTCCAACGGCGTCGCTAAAGAGAATATTAAGAACTGAAAAAGCCGTGAGCACCTCGTCGAATAGAGACGAGAAGGATAGGTACCAGTATATCTCGGATGCGCTGAATAAGATTTTGGTAATTCTCAACGAGAAAAAAACGAAGCTTGCTTTTGGGAGATGATCCTAAACCTTCTGTGAACACTTGGCATGATTAAAACTGGAGGGATACATGGCGCGACAAGTTAGGCTTGTATCTGTAGTTTATGGACGAACAGAACTCTGAGATATATGCTCGTGTGCATGCTCTTGCCGCAATTTGGTATGACTGATGAAGCTATTACACGCCTCATTGATCACCCATAATAGTTAATACGTTCATAATACATTTTGTATATATTCCCTTTATAAATCAAAATCTTAGGACGCATGACGTTCCCTTCTTGAGAAAAGATTGTAGCAGCTCCGCATTTGCCGAAAGAAAGTCTGTACAGCTACATCTCCACATATTTTTTGCTCATTATCACCAATCTCCACTTTGCAGTTCTCCAAATACACGCTTGACTTCAATTACATTTATACCAGCGAAATACACGTTTGACCTGAAAAAGATGTAGCCCCTGTGAGTACATTGTAGTCGCAATGAGGATAATGTCTTCGCCAAAGTTTGCAACCAGCTCTTCGTTGCCTACAGCAACCGTATTGATATATAGCACTTGTACTTACTGACGATGAGATGCAAAAGGGTTGTGAAAATCTGCACGCTCTCTCAGAATTTCGGTCTTGAGGAGCTAACGTAGCACGCAAATTTTATCTTAAATTTCCGATATGACTTCTCACCCCCAATGAGTGATTTTTTGCGTCGGTCATATGAATAATATGTTGGTTCTCAGGGCTTAGCTCAGACTTTACAAAGAACATGATGGACACTACTTTTAATGCTTTAATTTTGTAAAAATTGAGGGGATTCTATTATGTAAAAGACATTTTACAGTTTTATGTAGAAAAATGAGATGAAAATTTGATCTTTTTTCTGGTAAATAATGTAGTATATTGAGCTTATCGGGAATTTCATGAGCTCAAACACTCAAACGTTATTTTTCATATTTGACAGAATTTCAGACTTTTTACTTTTTTGCCATGCGTGACCCTCAATACAGCCTACGATACGGCTTGGCGTTGCGGTAAGGGTAAATCTTATTGAATTTCAGCTCTTTGATTCGTTACAACATTCGATACGGCCTTTCTTGATTTGCTTAAAATCATTTTGCTGCTACACCCACAGTAAACCTCCCTAACGGCATAATTTTTAAAAAAGAAAGAAAATATTGCGACGAGACGGGAGGCTCCGAGAGAACGTGAAAATCCGCGTGTTATTAGTGCTCGCACAAAAGCCGCCCGTGGTGTCATTACGCCATAGCTGGTATGTTTTGTCGTCTTTTTATATATTCTATATCTACCGTGTGTCTTCCCTCTCGTAGCGTGTATTATGCACTCTCAGACTCATTCTGGGGGGCTATATTGCTGCTTTGTACGCCTTAACGCGTCATTTGGAGTGGTTTCTGTGCTTGGGTCGAGGGGGAAATTGATTGGTTGAAAAGGTTGACATCTCTTCTGCTGATAAAGCTCTTTACTGTGTGTAAATTGATGCATTTTTGACCATTTCGCACTCATTTTTCCATCTCGACTCCAAGACACGTAGCCAGGTTTCTATTGTCGTGTGATTTGTGTACGTTAATCTAACGTGAGTCTTTCTATGTGCTCGTATGTGTTTTTGTTATGTTTTAATGCTTTTCTTTAGATGCAGTAGCGCTGCATATCGGCAGTACGTACGACATGGCAAGTTCATCGATGAGATGGAAGAGTGTTGGTCGCTTATCGATTTTTTGTTCTTTTATCATTTCTATGTTGAATGTTGCAGATAAAACCCGTAATGGCGTCGGACAGCGACGGGAATAGTAACAGCGTTGTCATTCTTAGGTGCATTCGTGAGAAACTTGTAGAATATAAAAAAACGCTCTTGCAGTATGTTATTTATGCTGCTGCTAGCTTTTAATTGTGTAATATCATAGTAAGATGCTAACAGAAAGTAATTGAATGTGTGTAGGCAGCTTGTGGATGAACAGAGCGCAACATTAGCAGTCACTAAAGAATTGGCTTTAAAAAATGTGGAAAATGACGTGAATATTGGCGTAGCAAAGCAGGAATTGGTGCCTTCCAAGGGCGGAATGCTTTTGCAAGAGGAGGATGTTAATGTTATTGCTGAAGGTGGAGCTGCAAAGTTTCAACCAGCAAATAACAGTTTACGTTGTGTCGAGATTGCTACTTTTGTTGAAAGTCCAGCTTTTGAAGATGAGCCGAAGATGTTGATATCTGAAAAAGTGCGCAAAGATATTGTTTTGAAAAAGCGGCGGATGATGGATTCGGAGGTGGAAAGTGTGGCTGAAACTGAACATAATAAAGAGCCTTTGAAAAAGGTAAAGAGGAGCAAAATAAAAAGCGAAAAAAAAGAAAATGGATGATAGAAACGAAAAATTTGATGTACAGAAAGACAAAGCGAAAAGTGCATTGGAAGCTACTGCGGGCCAGGTAGATTTGCGTCAAAGGACCCCGTATTGTGTTGTCCGGACTCCGACTCCTCCAAACAAATATTTCATACAAAAGCGGCGGGAGGAAGAGGCCTCGGGTCGCGAATCTGTTCGCCAGCAGCAGCCACATTTGCTAGCTTCGTTAGCAATTCGCAAAGGAGGAATGTGTACTAGTCGCTCACTGTTGACGCCCCGAAACTTTTCGAGGTCTATGGGTCTGACAACTGCAGAGTTTGAGCGAAAGCTTTGTGAATATGTGCGTCTTCACCGTGAACTGAACACAAAAAGCAACTACACTGTAATGAGAAAACGGCAATTACCGCGGTTGCCAACACCATTGCGTTGCAAGACCCATTGGGACTTTGTGCTGGAGGAGGTGAGGTGGATGGCGACAGATTTTGCTGAGGAACGTAATTGGAAACGGGTGTTACAACACCGTTTGGCGGCTGATGTGATCATTGCGAAAAACTCAGGAAGTGTACGTCAAGAACTAGAGAATCGTCAGATGGCACGTGATGTTGCTTTACAGGTATCGGCATTCTGGCGCACGATGGAACGGATTGCTGCAAGGTCACGAGTTCGGTTTGAAGCCGCGGGTACGAACCGATCAGATCATGGTGAGATCGATATTACAGCGTCTGGGGGCCACGCCGCAACTTTGGAAGATGATAGTAAGCAAAGCAAAAGTGAGGATGTCGAGATGAGTGGCACTGGAAACGATACTTTAACATTAAAGTACTACACTTTTGGTGCAGCAGCTAGCAATGAGGTTGACACAAAAAGTGATGGAAAGAGGCCGGTGAGGCCAGAAACGGTGCTGACATCTGCAAAAGATCATGTTACTTACATTGTGAGTGCAGGAAAGCGAGCGCGCAGCGCCATGACATCTTTGCCAACGAAAGGTGTTGATGTGGAAAAGGCATGGTCCTTTTCTAAAGCTTGGTCATTACGGGAGGCGGCTATTCAGGCTTTGCAAGCGCGGTGCACCGCCTCGCAGGCAGAAGGAAAGCCCGTTTTTATTTTGGCAACCTTTCAATTGCTGGCATTGAGGTGGATGTTGGACTTATATTCTAGCGGTCTTAACATGTTTTTGAATGACCAGCTCGGTATGGGCAAGGCAGCCACAATCGTTGCCTTTCTAAGCTTGATCGAGATTGTGCCCTCTCAGAAGCAGTATGAAGGAGGTGATGGGGCACGCGTATCTCTACCAGAACCTCTGAGTGTTGAAATACCGAAAGGCCCGCATTTGATAATCGTGTCGGGGGAGGAGCTTCATAAGTGGCGGCATTATCTTCGAGTATGGCACCCTGACCGGCGTATTCAGTTCTATGACGGTGCTGGTAAATCTTTACGCTATAAAGCGCAGTTACAGCGGGAGTGGAATATTAAGTTTCAAGCCAAAGCGCGCAAGGATGACGGCAATTTTCTTGCGGCCCCGCTTCATAATGACGACGATGAAGGGCTCGACGATGACGGGCGCGTTGAGCCCATTTATTGTGTGTTATGCTCTGTGGATGCATTTGTTGAAGATCAACAGGCTTATGTGGCTTTCACGAATTGGCAGATGGTTGTTGTGGAAAACGAGCATGGTGGTCATTTTGATGACTCGGCGTGCGTGTCTGCGCTGCAACAGCTTCGACAACAGCAGCGGCGGGTCTTGTGCAACGGTCAATCGATTGAAAATTGGAAAAACACTGCATTAAGACTGCAGTACGCAGAATTTTTGGTGTGGGAAGCTTACGCAGATAATAATAATAGCAATTCGCATGAGAGCTGCCAGCATCAAGTGGAGACCTGGCCTGTGCAGGAACTACAAGTTGAGAGGTCATCTGTGGCGAAAGTGATGCATATTTATGGCAAATCATCGAGCGTACGGGCTGCTTTGTGGAAGGCATCTTCTCAGCAGGAGGACTTGCCAAAGTATATGAATGCGCTGCTTTTAGCTCTATCCTGTCTCAGCTTGCGGCGTGTTCGCAGCGAAGTCGAGACAGAACTGCGCAAGATAGAGGAAGTTAGTTTGAGCTGCAAGCTTAGTTTGTCGCAGAGCGCGCAGTACCGAAACGCACTTAGCGGATTTGTGGCGACGCTGGATACTGCTGGTGGTCGGGAGGAGCGGCTAAGTGTTTGGCTGCAACTTCTATTGCGTCTCCGTCAGATTTGTAATTGCGTTGATCTTGCAACCGACATGGAAAAGTTGGGGCATGCTGATTTGCGATTGCTGACTAGTTGTTCAGCAAAACTAGAGGCGTTGGAACCGTTGCTACGTCGACTAGCGCTTCAGGAAGGCAAGAAGGTGGTGATATATTGCCAGTTTCACGGTATGTTTCCTGTATTAGAGCTGTTTCTTTCTCTGCTAGACATTAGCTACGTGCGCATTACTGGCTCGATCTCCATGCAGCGTCGTGCGCTTTATCATTTTGCTGATCGCCCTGTAGTTCGCGTAGCACTCGCCTCTACTCGGTTGTCCACGTCTTACGGAGGTCATGCAGTGTCAGTATATGGTAGTGAGGCCATCGTTGTTGTGGACAGTGACTGGAACGCAACGTGTGATGCGAAGCTTCGGGCGAGTTGGGCTAAAATGGCGGTTGGTGGTGCTGATACACTTTCAGTCTACCGATTACACTGTGAAAATACTGTCGAAGCATCATTACTGCGCGTGGGGGCTTCGCTTACTGAAAAAGTGTTTGGTGAAATAACGCCTCAAGAACTTCTTGCTGTGCCGTCTGACATGGCGTTGGCGATCGAAAAACCCGGCTGGTGGTCTCCTGCCTCCACTAGCAGCGGTGGAAACGGGCTGATGGCCACGGGGCCAATGGCAAGACTCGCGACGGTGGCTTTGCAGGTGGAACGAAATGAGAAGTATACCGGAAGCTCAAGTGATCTTGAAGCACCTCTCATTGTGCACAATGTGGATTTGGATGCCGAGGAACATCTTTTGCTGGCGAATACAGACGAGCTGACGCCTGTCGAATGGTATGCTGTTAACTTTGTCCACGGCATTATTGACAAAAAACCGCAGCAGGGAGGTGAAGCAAATATAATTGAAGAAGACATTGGAAGCGTTAGCGACGAAGGCACCGCTTCTTGGGGTGAAAGAAACGAGATTATTCAACCAGATCAGCCCTCGTTTGAAAAGTCAGCTGCTTTGGATGTTAACCGTCATTGGCAAGAAGGCGACGTTGCATCGCAACTTTTTTCAGCCTTAGTCCTCACCGCAGTGGCGTGGCATGTAATAGTGCGCTCGAAAAGATGTTTATGCAAATGCGTACGCAAGGCATGGAAACGCATTTTGATGTTGTCAAACCTCCACAATTATGGTTATTGGGTGACGCGAAATTGCATCGAGGGGGCCTTATCGTCAGAAGCTGGTATGAGCATAGACACACAGGTGACGTACCGCATATCATATCGCGTGTCGGTAGCCCCACCACCTTTACCTCAGACTGCAAAGTTGAAGGTGGAACATGCTGTCGGGCAGCACGGGGACATGTCCAAACTCATTGAGCCTAGCAAGAAACAGCGGGCCAGCGCCGCTATTATGGCAGTATCGAGAGGTGGAATGGTCCCTGGTTCAAACTCGATGAACCTTTCTAACTCTGCAGATATGAAGCGCAAGCTTGAGTCACAGTTACGCAACATTAAGTTGGGGCCTCAGAAAGAACAACGTGTAGATTTGGAGGGTATCCCCGTTCCAGATGTGTCAGAATTTGCTGACGACGACTTTTGGGGCGACACGAACTTAGATGCGCTTGATTCAGCTGAATGGGATGACCCTGCTCTTCTTGGCGGTATTCTTGGTGTTGGTGTGGGCGGCACTGGTACTGGGGTATCATCTACAGTCCCTTCGTCTTGTACAGCACCTAATGGAGCCGGTGTGTCTGTAACGACTGGTGCAGGGGGAGTGCGATTGGAGCGCGTGCGGATTTAGGCCATTACAAAACACCTTTACAGAAAAGCTCAAAAAAGCCAAAGATGGTTTCAGGGCGAGCTCGGAAAAGCGGCGTGTCTTCATTCGATTCTGGGCGTGATGTTTGGACTGTGCATAGCGACGTAGTTCTCCAGAAATTGTTTGAGCTCTATGGTGCCAATTGGACTCTTATCGCGCAGGTGCTTAACTCGACCACCGCAGTTTCTAGGTTTGTCTGTAAGAAGCGTTCACCACGGCAATGTTATGACCGTTACGGCAAGATTATTTCTGACAGCTTTACAAGCTGTGGGGCTGTTGCTGGAGCTACGACGAAAGATGGCAAGTCAAGTGTCTTGCTAAATAACCAGTGCGTCGAAAGCGTTGTAGCCGCTCAGCTTACTCCTACAGCACTCGATACTCGCATTGGATTGGCGCGTGATGAGTTGCTGGTAAAGTTTTTTCATCGTCATTCATTTCCTGGATTGCCGCCGCCGTCTATTGCAAGCGCACCCAATTTGGTTGAAGCACACCGACAAAAGCAAGCAACGAGCGATGCTGCTAGCAAAGAGTTGATTTACACGGACGGTGAACGGCTGCACGACTTACAGTCAATTAAAACCTCATTTGACGCTATTATCCAATGCATGAAGCGCAAGACGTCACCACCACCGATTCCAATTCCTGTTGGAGCTGGTTCTATAGTATCAGGCGCGACCGCAACGCCAACTGCATCAAGGCCGACAGATCTGGGGACAAAGGCGTCACTCACAGCTGCATCGTTTCCATCTTCTCACGTCTCAACTTCTAGTTCAGCCCCATCTACTCCAACTAAAGCAAGCGCGACAGCCTTTGTTCCATCAGCAGCGGCCGCGAAGGCAATACCTGTTGTGGTGCCGCCGCCACACAAGTCGTACACGGACATGGTTTCGCTTCTTCCAGGAGCTGTGCTTAGCCCAGACGAAGTAATTAAGCGCAGCAAGGATGTACCAATGGTAGCCGTACAAGCAGCGACTACCGTAGCTCCGGTCGGGCGTGAAGGTTCACCTCTCTCTGCGAGTGGTGATGTCATGCTTGGCGCTGGCTCGGGATTTGGCGTAACAGCAAATTGTTCAGTGCCACGTCGCTTACATGCAGCAAGTCTTACAAGCGAAATGCGAACTGTCAGCGTGGTGTCCGTTTCAACAATATCATCTACGGGTACGAGGGATGGAGGTGCTGCCGCTACTGTAGCATCAGCAGCTGCACAATCGCAGACGACAACAGCCGTAACAACAGGAGGGTGGGGTGGAATAGTGCAAGGTGTGAGCACGACTGGATTTAATGCTAGCGCGCCTGTGGATTTCACATCCGCAAGTGACAATGAAACACAGCGAAATGCGCCAATTCCTGTGACCACGTCGACGTTATTGCACGTGCTGGACCGCATGCCCGAGATAAAGAACAAGATTCAATCAATCTTGAACCGGACAGACTGCTCCGAGTCACAAAAAGTGGCAATGATTGCTCGTTTGTTGAGCAACACGAATGCTATCAACAATCCCAACGCGTTTGAAGCTTCCCCAACGCTGCCTCAATCGGATACGTCAGTCGCAGATAATAGTGCGATGTTCTCGGCGCTTACCGCTGATCCTGGTATGCTTAGCTCGCCTGATATGCTCATTGACACGGAAACGCCTATCCCAATGCCGGCATCATTAGGCGTGCGACCGCCTAATGGAAATGCTTCGTCTATCTCATCTTCGCAAGAAAAGCTCGAGCCACCACCTAAGTAGTTGGTTCTCTGTAATTGAGTCATGTCTCTCTTTTGTATACAGACAGCACTATATAGTTCTGCGTCGATACGATCTAACGAAACAAAACCAAACAACCATCTAACGAAACAAAACCTAATAGACAACCAATTCGTACAATATTGTTTTTATATTGTATGTGATTGTATTATATTAATACTAAGAAATTATTCATTCTTATAGTTATATAGCCTACTGCTTTTTTTAATCTTTATTGTGTCCGTTGCAGAAAATCGAGCGGCTATCGGTCATTGCGCCCGTACCTCATACTCGTTTACTATGTACGATTGATGAAGTATATCTAGCATCTTTATTCAAAACGTGATAAACAAAATGTTATCCACTGTCATTTTGATTCTTCCTGCATAGTGCATGTGGAACAAACGCGATATCTTCTCCTTCATCACATGTAAGAAGGAGAATATATATAATAACATCATCTTTGGCATACTATGACGTCACACTTGAAATTATATCATTGGCTAAATTTACAATAATTAGATGATTGGCTTTTATCTTAGCATGTGCTACATCATTGTTCCTCTTTTATTTAATTTATATAAAAATGTAAAGGTTTGTGTGTCACTACGGGACTTGCTGTCCACGCAAATCAGCATCAGTTGTCAATTTACCAATTGTGTCACATACAAAAACGTCTTCGTCTCGTGACTGTTTCATTTTGTTACAGTGTATCTTATTGTAATCAAATGGTTGATGGTATTAAGACCAAACGTAAAATATCTTGGCAAGAAGTAAAGCAGCATTCAACGTATGCTAGTGCTTGGATTGTTATTCACCATAAGGTTTATGATATAAGTCAATGGGATTCACACCCTGGTGGTATGGTCATGTTATCCCAAGCAGGAGAAGATGCGACTGATATATTTACAGTGTGCCACCCGACAAGTTCATGGAAACTGTTGGAGCAGTTTTACATTGGTGACGTAGATGAAAGCACAGCAATGGACACTGAGACCCTTACGGACGAGCAAAAGATTAAGAAGGCTATGGTAGATGACTTCATTAGTGCTTACCGTCGTCTACGCATAAAGATTAAAGGCATGGGGCTCTATGATGCTAGCATGATGTTTTACGGCTGGAAGATTCTTAGCACATTTGGTCTTTGGATGGCTTCGGTGGCGGTTTGCTATCGTTTCGACAACTGGCCCATGTACATACTTGCGGCTTGTATCATGGGCTTGTTCTGGCAGCAGTCGGGATGGCTTGCACACGATATTTTACACCATCAAGTGTGGGAGAACCATATGATCGGCAATGTCATGGGTGTGATTATTGGCGATATTTGGATGGGCTTCAGTATTCAGTGGTGGAAAAACAAGCACAACTTTCACCATGCCGTGCCCAATTTGATTGGTGACAAGAATACCGAATACCTGGGCGATCCTGACATTGACACAATGCCTCTGCTGGCTTGGAGCAAGCAGATGGCTTCAAAAGCGTACGAGTCGAGCTGGGGACCATTTTTCGTGAGCCATCAAGCCGTGATCTACTTTCCACTTCTGCTCTTTGCTCGATTTAGTTGGCTGCTGCAAAGCTATTACTACGTGTTTAAAGGTTTCGCATTTGGCAAGTATGACCCTGTGCTTCTTCCAAATGGTGAAAAAGCTGGCCTTCTCCTGCACTACATGTGGAACCTGCTGCTACCGATCGTGACGGGCATGTCAATTGCTCAGGGTCTAGTGTTTTTCATGGTCGCCCAAATGACGTGTGGCGGTTTTCTCGCGGCAGTTTTTAGTGTTGGTCACAACGGCATGTCAGTGTACGAACGTGAAGACAAACCGGACTTTTGGAAGCTACAAGTTACGACGACACGTAACATTACGCCGAGTTTCTTTATCGACTGGTTCTGTGGCGGTCTAAATTACCAGATTGAGCATCATTTGTTTCCTATGATGCCTCGTCACAACCTCCAAAAGATAAATCCATTGGTCAAGTCTCTTTGCCAAGAGTACGACATTCGTTATCATGAAACGCAATTCTATCACGGGCTTGTTGAGGTTGTTGATGCATTGGCTGAAATTAGCAAGGAATTTTTACTTGAATTTCCTGCCATGTGATAACAAGAGAATGCTAGTTTAGTGAATAAAAGAGCTACTTTTGAAGGAAAAACGAAGTGCATGCACATACATTACACTCAACATTTGTTTGGATATTACCTCGAAATTTAGACTTTTTGCTAAAATTTGTTAAGATAGAAGCTGTACGCATTCACGAGATTTTTAAGAAACAAATTGTGAGTAGCTATTGATTTCGATTTTGGGTATTGCTGTCAAAATGTACTCAAAATGGACTTTTAGATCTACTTTTTTGGCATTGCCTAGTTGGTCGTATTATATACTACTAACCAACCAATTAATCAACCACATCCCGATGGACTTTCAGAATCGTGTTGGTTCCAAGCCTGGGTCTGGTGGTGTAGCCTCCGATTCACAGACTAATGTAGACCGTCGTGAACGTCTGCGCAAACTTGCGCTAGAGACAGTTGATCTAGCAAAGGATCCATACTTTATGAAGAATCATTTGGGCTCGTATGAATGTAAATTGTGTCTCACTTTGCACAATAATGAAGGTAATTACTTAGCACACACGCAAGGCAAACGTCATCAGACAAATTTAGCTCGACGAGCAGCAAAAGAGGCTGCGGATGCCGCAAATTCAACAGCTACTGCTAATCTCCAAGCAGCTCGAGCTGCAGCAGCTGCAGCAGCCTCTCGACCAAGAGCGCTCAAGATTGGGCTACCTGGATACAAAGTGACTAAACAGCGAGATCCTGATACAGGTGCACGGATTCTTTTGTTTCAAATTGCGTATCCAGAGATAGCTGAAAAGTTGCAGCCTCGTCATCGATTTATGTCAGCTTTTGAACAAAAAGTAGAAACACCGGATAAACGCTGGCAATATCTTCTCTTTGCTTGTGACCCGTACGAGACCGTGGCATTTAAGATTCCAAATGATGTTGTGGACAAAAGTGCGGACAAATTCTTTAGCAATTGGGACAAGGATGGAAAAACATTTACATTGCAACTGACTTTTGCAGCCGGGGATGTAATCGACAAGAACAAGCCAGCTCCACCCCCCACCACGTCCACAATTGCGATATTTCTAGGTGAAGAAGCTTAAGCGTAAAAATGATTTAAGCGAAGAACGAGCTTGCAAACGCAGTGATGTGTGTGTGTTTTTTCTTCCAGCTGATGGAAATAGCATTTGCAATAATAGTAGCAACTGTGGGTGAATTTTTTTAATACATCTTGGGAGCACAAGATGGTAAGCGGAGAGGATGCTAGAAGATTGGCATTGAACAGGTAGGAGCGATTCAAAATCATCTAAACTTACATGAGGCTTGTGTGTAAATATTTGCACAACTATAAAGATTTTCAGTAAGACTGCAATAAATTGATGTGATGAACGTCATACAAAGCACAAAGTGTCAAACACTTGGGACCCATGTCTTTAACTCATTGTTAATGCGTGTCTTTATAATTGCACCACATCGCTTTTTAGGCGTGTACAAAAACAGGATATGGTCTTTTTAAAAGCTTCAGTTTAGATAATACGACTACTTTTGCTTGCGTAGTGTACTTCAACACTAAATATACGTGTCATATATATTTAATCTTTTTCATTTGTGAATGTACCTTTTGCCAAGATCTTTTACCGCAGTAATTCTCTCGGTAAATCGGTAAGAGCGCACAGCACAAAAACCCATTTTCTTCCTATACAAAAAATTGACCAACTTTTCGCAAATCGTTTCATTAACATTCCACATTTCTATCTCAATATCTTTGCGTCGGTTCGTGGTTTTTGTTCATTTCCATACCAGTAATAAAACTGTGTCTCTAACGCGTCTCTTTTTTTTTTACTATTCGTTTTTAATTTTTCTTTATATTTCATTCTATTTTGTCATCAAAAAAATTAAGCACAAAAATAAAAACAAATGGCCGACGACTTGCTCCAAATGTTTCAAAGCATCACGACGAGTGATCGAGATGAATTAATTGATCAATTTGCACATTTATTACAATTAGATGTACAAACAGCTACTTTCTTTCTTGAATCGTGTAATTGGAATGTTGAGACAGCGGTGAATAATTATTTAATTACAATGGAAGCCACAGGAGGAAATACAAGTGGAAGAGAAGGAATGGAGAGAGGAAAGGATTTGGAGATGGAAGACGAGTGTAATATTCTTGTAGATCATCAAGAGATACAACAAGAACCAGACGAACAAGAGAATCAGTATCAACAACCAAATTCTGCCTCGTACGAAGCTCAGTTTATTAGCGATCTATCAGCTACGCAGAATACGCTTTTTGCACCCGAAACGCCAGTTTATATGGTAATGAAGAGCACTAGGATTGATGACCTTTGAAGCGTGAGCTCTAATAGTTATGTTGTTACTACATTTTACATCCTTTGTAGCAATGGAGTTTTGTCAATACTGGACAAGACGCATGGCCGACAGATACACGACTGTTATTTGCACAAGGCACGACCTTTCAAGGACCAGAAAAAATTCATGTTGCAGCACCAGTTGGTCAGCGGATAGACATCCACGCACCTCTTTGTATGCCGTCGGAACCAGGATCTTATGCTGGTAGCTGGAGACTGCACTGCTCGGGAGGGTTTTTTGGCGACCCAGTGTGGGTTGTTGCAAATGTAGGCACGCGTGAAGCAGCTGCAGCATTTGCTTTGCAGCAACAACAGCAAGCTGCAGATGGTGATTCCTCCAAGGTCCAATGTGCTCAAAATGACCGGCAGCCTTCATCAGCTGTTGTCGAGGATATGGACTTGCAGTGACATCACGCAATTTTTGACCCAAGGTGCCAAACAACGTGAAAGCAAAGAAGGGTGGGGGGAGAAGAACAACACATTAGCTCCTTTTGAATGGTTGCAAAGGAAAGCAAAATGAAAATATATGCCGCGTGCTGTGCGAAGTTCTTGTTGTGTTTGTGCTGAAGGTTAAAGTAATACCAAGTAAATTATGCATGACATGCTGTCCATTAACGCAACGCAAACAAAACGTATGTGTAAAGCAAAGCGTTAAGTGTGTTGATTGTCGTGTATTCTGCTGTCGGTTCAACGTCTCAAGTACCGCTAACGTATGTATGTCCATGTCCCCTACGATGAGCAACTGCTAAAAAATATCTCCACTGTATCTTGCTTAGGCTAGTCTGCTTTCAAACCAGGATACCAAATCACCAACGCGTGCAACGCGAAAGATGATGTAATCGCGGCACAAACACCTTTTTCAACTGCACAAAATACAATGTTGTTATTCATCCGTAAAACCCGTGACTTCCATGTTTATCACCAACGACAACACTTCCTCCAGCTCCTTCTTCGACTTGTACAGCGGCAAGTCAATGCGGTTGAAGCACGTATGCGCCCGCGGATAGGCATTTTCCGGGAAAGTAACGGCCTTTAGCGTAAAGTGGCAAATGCGCCCGTCATAGCTCGTAAGTGCCTTAAAACCCTGCACGGGCACACGCGACGAGCCCGTAGTAAACTGTAATAAACGTGCCCGCTCCTCGTCCGTGAACGCTTCTACGGTTTCCCAAAACCACGAAAGCAGCTCCTCAGGCAGCTCATCCGAGACCTGGGTGTGCGCTTTCCAATCATCCACATCAATAGAAGGTACGCCACACAGCACCAGCTCCAGCTCTTGGTAGTCAAAGACGAGGATCAATTCCTGCGGAATTACCTCAAATACTCCAGCCATGAGGTGCTGTAGCTGTTCAGCATACGAATCCAGCATGATGTAGCGTAGACGCAAATAAATGTACTCCTGCTTGTTCTCGTCTGTCAACTCAATGTCCTTGCCGCCTTCCTTCAACTCAATAGTTTCCACCTCGCCGTTCAATTTGCGATTTGTAACAGTAAAGTCCAGACCAAGTGCATCCACACCATTATTCTCTTTCATCCACTTCAACGAATTGTGCACTTCCTGGTCAAAGAACTCCAAATCACTAAACGAAATAGGAACGCCAAGCAAATGCTTTAGCACAGGAAGCGCCAAGTGAGCCTTCATCAATTGACCTTCCAGCAAAGCACGACCGAGCAATCGACCTGCACCCCGAAAGTATAGCAGATGGTCAGCCGAGGCCTCAACTGAGTTCGGATTAATAACGTAAGCCAGTGAGTCCACGTGCGCACACATGAACAGACCAATTGTTTCATCAAACAGACGCTCCGTCACGAGCGAAAACCATTCGCGCTCTAATCCGCCTGCATCAATAGCCACTTCACCAATAAATTCAATACGAAGCGGCATATGTATGTGCTCCATCTGCACACCCAGCAATTGTTCCATAGACTCGACCAGTATATTTTCACGGTGGACCCGCATTTTCAAATGCCCATCCTCCCACGGTTTAATCAAAGCCGACGTCTGTTCCAAAAACCAAGCGTATTTGTCCTTAAACGGCAACGCCGCCACTTGCTCGAGAATTTCCAAATCCTGTTCCGAAATTTCATAGCCCCGAGACGCGACACGAGCGTCTACTTCACGATACTCTTTAAAAGTCATGCGGCCCTCTGGATGTCTAGGGGTCTGTGCTAATTGTGACACAAAAGCCAGTGACTGTTGATGCACAAGTTCCTTTTCCGGATCTGCAACCGACGAGACCGTCGAAGCTGTGGACGCTGCAGTCGCTCCTAAAGCTGCACCAGCACTTTTAGGTGACAACATGTCAGCATCCGAGGTTGGAATATCAATTCGTAGATTCAGTGTCTTGTTTCCATTGTTGTCTCCATTTCCTTCAGTATGTAGTACTTTTCCATCCCCGTCCGTCAATTTTGCATTTCCTAATGGAAATGGTAAGTCTCGTTTTGCCCAATAGCGTTTTCCATCCAGTCCAACTTTCCGTACCCAATCTTGACGATTTCTTGCTCCACGTTGACGTGAATTCAGCATATTTAATCGTCGAATAGCAAAAGAACGAGTTCGATTAAAACTCTTTTCTTTTGGTATCTCCGTCTCAAGTGTAACAGGACCTGTTGTATGAGCTGTCGTGACTCGAATAGGTGAATGAAGACCTAGAGTAAATCCACGTTCTGTGCCACATAAGACACAAGCTTTTGCTGAATTTTTATTCTGAAAATCACAAACTTCACATTGCCATTGTGAATTCACTTCATCGTTTGATTCTTGTACATCCTGTCGTGTCATTGGTTGTCCATCTTCAGTATATTGTCCACCTAATAATGGTTGTTGCATATTCTCATCAAAACGAGCACGACGACAACAATAGTAGACAATTATCATAACTAAGAGACCACCCGTTACATACGCTAACCATGTTGGTAAAGATCCATTCCCAGCAGCTTGTATTTCTCGTATATTGATTAGTAATATTGTCAAAGACAATAGAAATGGCATTCGCACAAACACAAGATGCATTGTGTAAGGTTAAGCTTTTTTCTTTAACCCACTTTTAGACAATGCTTTTTGTTTTGTTTCTAAACAACCAGGTTCGAAAGCAGAAATTCCTCCTATTGTTCAGTATTGGTGTGGTGAGTTTTTTTAAGCTAGTAAGTAGGAGGGAATTGCAAAGTAATAGAAGGGGTAGGACTGTTGTGCTGAAACATGAAGACTGACTGGTAGAAAAGACGATGGGAGAGACAGGGGGCATGTAACCCAATGAAAACATGGGTAGAGAGAGGTGATGGGCACATATTATGACTGTATTTTACTGTCTTTTTTATAAAAGAAAGAGTGTTTCTGATAAGATGATAAGGCGTTTTGACACGCATTTTACTTTTTTCAGTTATGCATACATTTGCATTATAAATTACGAAACGTCTGACTCTTCGAATGATGGATTATATTGGTACAGATCCTTATAATTACAACATTTTAAAACGTCAAGAGTGAGTTGTTGATTGGTCAAGTACCGAAACATTCTCCATCGCATATAGCAAAACAACAACATTTGTCACATTAGCTAAATTAGAACAATCCAATAACAAGATTTTTCTTGAACACCGTTACAACTTACTAAAACGATTGATTAGCGTTTATTTGATTTACTAAAAATACACCTGTCAATCGTATGTTGGTCGACTAATATACGCAGACCTTCGAATCCCAAACATTCTATCGGCCAAGAACTCCAAAAGCTCGTCATTTTTGTCATCAATCACACAAATCGAACGCTATTCACCGTATAGCCCGACATGCTTGCCACTGTGCCTGACACCGAACCACTCCTCCAGCTCCTCGCCGGCAAGAACTCCTTTGCCTTGTGCCTCCACTGCCATAGACAGTCGTCACAAGACCATTGAACCTGAAATAAAGGTGTACAACAGGGCACGAGCGACGCTTGTCATTAGATTTTATACTTTTTGTCCCAATTTGGGCTGCTAGCGAACAAGGTCTGCAAGCTACACAACCCACCAGCCCAAAAACAGCCATACTGCGTCAAAAATTACATAAAAGATATTCGAATATTTTTAACGCAGCAATTAGAACTCTAATGGGTATAGCAATATACTAACTGCTACGTAGAACTTTTCCTCTGTATCTAGAAAAGTCGTTGACGTTTGGATATTAAACTGATGATGTGAGCTAGCGCAGTTGACGGTTGGAATCCACGAATCACTAGACCCAGTGTCAAAAATCATGTCCAGATAGTGTCGTGGGTTCCCAAGGCCCCATAGACCCGGTGTACTGTACATTCCAACTCAAGCGCTTTGCATCAGGTAGGGGAGGCTGGGCTGCATTTTTTGTAAGGTTATGTTTTTCCAGCATCAAGTGAGTTGCAGAGTTTTGTTTAGGATCGTATGAAGTGGTTTCAAAGTGGTTATTGTAGATTGTAGTAGCTATTGCATTAGACCGTCGTCTTGCTAGTGATAAAAATCGAAGTGGAACAGCACCTGCAATTGCAAATTATAGGATACTTAATGACAATAATCGCATAATGGGGTCTGACGTTAGGTGGTGACTGATACAAAGAGCAAAAGTTCTATTGAGACCGCCGACGTGAGTTTGGACCAATAAAAAGAAGCGGTATGTTTGATTCTAAAACATTATTGCCCCAAATCCTCTTAACAAGGAAAAAAAACCTCTTGATTTAATACAACACATGAAAACCTTTTATGAAATAGCGACAATAGCCGACTATTTACTGTCCGGATGACTTAGTATTGGACTCAACCAAAAGCCTTGATGTACTAGAAGAATGTACGTGCGTGCGTCTTGTACAAGACAAAGAATAGATGAAGGGAAAAAGTGACGCCATAATCCATCTTGATAAATTGCACTAGTGAACTTAATGAAAAAGCTTGATACCATATGATAAAAATGATCTTACAGAAACGACGTCGAGCCACAGAACTGAACTAGAAAAAACTAGACGTATACAGAATTTACTTAGCCTCACTCTGGAGAAGCTGCTGAGACCTCACTCTAGCGTTAGGAGTGTATTTTGTATTATAGCACTGGACATTCGGATACAGACGACAAACAGCGTAGCTGCTTGCGAGTTTTAACTTGTTAGTAGCTGTAAACCCTCCGCAATTGGTATATTCCAATGCTTCAACAGCTTCTCTTTAAGTACTTCCCATAATGCAACTTGCTTGCATCACTTCGTCATCAAAGGTCGGAGACAAAGACCATTACTGTCACAAACCTTTAACATTCCTGACACTGATAGTGCGAGCGTCGAATGACCAATCAAAATGGCGTTGTGTATCTACGTGAAGCTTCTTCAGCTCGTCGCACTGAAACATCTATATTGACTAAATGCTTTGACCATGTTGAACCCGCTTCAGTAGTAAGCGTAAAGAATAGTTAATCACCGGTTAAATTGCGTCGCAGGCATAGCATTTTTAATAGGTAATGAAAATTGTTGATTTCTCTCATCCGGATAACTGTTATCACAAATTTTTATTAAGCATATAATTAGAAGCAAAAAGAAATAGAAGAATATCAAGCTTTTAAGCTTGTGTTTATAAGAAAAAGAAAGCCAGTTTCTTAAAAGAGATAACAAATGGTTTTGAAGAAGCAAATGGTTTTTCTTTATCAGCATCCTAGGTTGTAAGAATAGAAAAAAGGCATTGATGAACCCTTTTACATTTCACATGCCAGCTGTGTTTCCAGTGCAAATAATATCGATTGTATTTAGTTGTGAATTGATTCAGTTCTTTTTACATTCCACAAGACTATTTCGTAGTATACAACAATTCATGAATATTAACTTTCTTCGAAATTTTTTGAAATTTGTCGTAATATATTTCCAATATAGACAAAAAGTTCAAAAATGCTGCATCAACACTTCTGTCTATACAAATTCTCATACACAAAGTCCTACCCCTTCTTATCTGTCTGGAGTTTTACATAAAGTGCCCTAGTGTAAATATAATACGTGACTATAATGCTGCACGGTTGGCATCTCTCGGCGCTTTTCTTGCTGCTACAGTTCGACGCATTGCATGCTGATAAGTGTACAGCGCTCACACAGAATGTACTAACGTCATCTGGTTGTCCTTCTTTCTGTAATAGCAATCCATGTGTACTTTACTCACCCTCACAGAGAGAATGCCTTGAGCTTGGAGCTAGTGGCCCCTGTTACAATATAAGCAATTTTATCGTACCAGGATCATCCATAGAGTGTGAATTAACATATCAATGTTTAGATACAATCTTATGGGATGGAAACCAGTGGTTATTAGCACTTGAAGCTAATGCCCAGACAAATGACAAGACAATGGCATATGTGACACAAATTACTGAATTAACTTACAGTAGTGCTACATTATCAGTGTATGTAATTTATCTATGATAGTAGTTAGTATTGTTATTCTGTAATATGTTGTGTATGTATATTATTATTATATTAGTATAGAACAAGAAAAACAACAAAGTAGTTACTAATGAACTTATGTATGACTGATTGATATTTTTTATTCAATTAATGTAGTCAGTTACAAGGAACTTCAAGAGGTTCAACGGATAAGGGCTTGGTGAAGAATATTTTACTTGATCAGACCTTTTTTGATACACCACTTGAAGCTGTCAGTTTGTTCTTAATAGGTGTGAACTTGAGAACTATTCTTCCGTCCGTGTCACTTTCGACGACATATTCAACGCTATATTTGACCAACGCTAACCTTACTGAAGTTTCGGAACAGCTGAGTACTTTTTCGTCAATTACCAAGCTGGATATGTCTATGAATTACATCGCGGAGCTGCCTGACAATACTAGCAACATCTGGACGGGTTTGAGCACTATTGTGGATCTAAACTTTGCAGAAAATACGCTCACAGACTTTCCTGCTGTACTAAATAACCTCCAGACACTTAACCTTACAGGAAATCTCTACACAACTATTCCGGACAATATCTTTACCATGATGGAATCAGGAGTACTTAAATACCTATACATGACTAGGTGCAACCTAACAAATGTACAAGTGTCGGCCACGCAACTAGCGTTGCTACAGAACCTGGCAGTTTTTGATGCGGATGTGACGATCACGGATTGTGGTGCAGGCTACTCAGCCACGCCGCTAAGTAACGGTGATACGCAGGTATGCACAGTGTCGACCTCGTCGTCTGGTGGTGGAGATAGCAGTCATACACTGCCCATTGTGCTGGGTGTGGGTTGCGGTATTTTAGTGCTAGCTATCATTGGTTTTCTGTGGTACCGCAAGAAATATGGTGGAAAGTTTGTGACAAAGAGCGGATCGACGATCTTTGGCACGGATATGGGCTCGAGTCTTACGGACGGTGACACGACGTTTGGCTCGTCGATTTGGGACGACCCGGATTTGCTTGCAGCACGGATCGAGCACCGCGATGTGGAAGCTGTAAAGTTGCTCTCCCGTGGCGGATTTGGTGAAGTCTGGCTAGGTCTGTACATGAACGAAAATGTCGCCATCAAGCGGCTGCTGAGTGACAAGAAAACAATGCAGGATGCGCTGGCGTTTGCAACAGAAATCAAAGTAATGGTGCGTTTGGAGCACCCTAAGGTCGTTCACTTTATCGGTGTGTCATGGGCCAACGCACTGACTATTCAGGCCGTGACCGAATTCATGGACTGCGGCGACCTTAAGTCGCTGTTGGACTCGAGTCGTGCTAGCTCGTTGACGTGGGCTAACCTGAAGTGTCAAATTGCCATTGATATTGCCGATGCTTTGGTATACTTGCACACGCTGAATCCGAAGCTCATCCACCGCGACTTGAAGTCTCGAAACGTGCTGATTGACGCACACAGTGGCGCTAAGCTGAGTGATTTTGGTATTTCGCGTAACCGCAGCTTCGATGAGACTATGACTGCTGGTGTGGGCACGGCTCGCTGGATCGCCCCTGAGGTCATTTTGGGTGGACATTACACGGAATTTGCGGATATTTACTCATTCGGTGTGGTGCTGTCTGAGTTGGACACGTGCAAGGCTCCCTTTCACGACGCTACCAATACTAACGGCGGTAAGATGCAGGATGTAACCATCCTACAGCTCGTGTCAGCTGGCAAGCTGCAGCCGAGCTTCAATGAGTCTTGTCCGATTTCTATTGTGAAGTTGGGACGCGCGTGTCTGTCATTCGACCCGGTGCAGCGTCCAAGCGCCATCCACATTTCCTATGAGCTGCGCAAGATTATGAAGGACGAGCTTTAGTCGGCATGTGTGTAACAGACGTTGCGATATCTTGGTAGTGACGGAGGAGACTCTTTTGTATTAGCGCAACTACTTTTAAAGTCCTTCTATACTTGACGGGCGATATTGCGGGACAATGTGCTGCATATGTTTTTGGTTAATGTGATAAAAGAGTTTACGGGCTTTCAAAACATGTCAATCTTTGCGTTGAAATCGTTGCTAATTGCTATACGCAACCATATAATGAACCCATTCATTGAAGATTTTTAGCATGACTTGTGTATGGTAAGATAGTCATGATTGATATCATGCGCCGTCCATAAAGGAATAAAAGATGGCGCAACTGCGATGTGTCTACAAGTAGCAGATCAAAGGCTTTAGCTTATACTGGACCATATATGCGCCTGTGCATAGTGTAGCAAAGCGATTTTTGGGGTTTAGGAGAAAGTGCATGCAAGACACGAGCATGTAGACAGAGATGAACTGTCGACTGTTTTTAGCTTTTGTATAGATAGCAAGGTGGCATTCGATAAGTGAGAAGTTTAAAGATGTGTTGTTGAAGCCCAATCATACCGTACCTTTACATGATGACTTATTGTGCTGACACAGAAACTTGCATTGTATTGTGGTGTGGCTGTAATTTAGTTACAGTGGTCGAGCTGTTTCGTCCGTCTCCAACATGGCACTTGGGTGGCCGGGAAACCCTCTTGAGTTTGGAAATATGTACGGTTAGAAATAATCTGTACTCCGTGCCTCGGGTTTTCAAACGTGCTGCGTGCTCTCCCACCAGTTCTAGAACTCGAAAAGGTCCATGCCAGAGGTTAGCCATCTTCTAGGCGTACCCTTCTTTTACAGAGCCACACTTGGGTCCCTGGCTGAATCTTAATGCACCATTTAATATCGGATTTAAGATATTTGTTACATTTAATGTTAATATTAAAAGAATTAATAATAAATGTATTGTGATCGACTGCTCCTTCATTGTGGGCTAGTACCCGAGCTTGACTGGCCGCTCGTAGGTTCTCACTCACCTGGGCTCTCGCCCGCTGATTGTAGCCTAGCTACTGTAGCTACGCTACTTATGCACTATGTGTAGATGCACTATGTGCAGAAGAAGTAGTCAGACTACTGTAGCAAAGCTACTTATGCACTATGTGCAGAGGAAGACAAGCTCAGAGAACTTCTACGTCTTAGGGTGTTTAACCCTCCTAGGCTAGCTCGTAAGCTTGTGCCTATCGGTCTTAACCGAGTCTCAGGGAGACTAGTATCAACGATACTGATTCCTTAAAAGGAATAGAATGCTCAAGCTGTAAGGCTTACAGAGCAGGTTTGAAACTGATTTATATTTATGTTTACCTTCTAACATTAAATATAGAAGCACCTACTCTATACTAGTGCTAGTCACTATTACTGGCTCTTTAGCCTTTTATTATTATGCAAATATGCATAGTCACTATACTTAAATAAGTATAGTGACCACGTGGCTCTCTGCCACGATGTGACCCTTCGTACTTCAGGTACGGTCACATCAACTACTTTGTACCCAAGGTACAGCCACACCACATTGGTGCGGCAGGTGTGTATGTAAAATACACACCTTCGTGTAGCCCCGTTACACTGATAGTGTTGCTGAGTGTGATATCTCCATCTTCGAGGTCCAAACCCTGACGTCGCGTATTTATTTCCGGTAATGTCGCTTCGAGGGTGGTTCTAGCATCCCAACTATGGACCAGATAGAATGGTGTCTCCTTCTGGACTCGGTCTTGCGCGGTGTTCCGCGCAAACGTAAAGCATTCTGCATAATTATCCAAGTCCTGCTGTCCGACACCAGAGACAGACGGTAACAGGGTGTACCGTATACATCCTGCAAGGTACGACCTAGCAGTCTTTTTTATAAGTAGACTTAGCTGAGTACATATAATACATAATTAAGTATGCGTTGTACCCAATACAGCGCGTGCAGCATGTCGTATTTCTCTTTGCTGATAAGTGGGTATCAGCCCATCATCAGCCAAAGGATGCGACCTTTATATTGAGTGGCTCTCACGACGTTTGGAGACCACTCGTACTTAGGATAAAAAATATAAATATAAAAACAGAGTTAAATTTGGTATAAGCTGAATACGCGTTTTATTAACGCGAGTTCCTTAACTTTTCCTCGTAAGCCCTTTAGTGTAAGTTACGTAACGGGCCCTTACTTGTTACACCTGGTAGCACTTTGTAGTCCTTCTAGCGAAGATGAGCGCTCTGCCTATCCTGGGCGCTTAGGGAGGGATGCTGAATCATGGTGACTTCCAGCATCTGACCTCGTTCGAATGGGAAGCTTTGCGTCGCCTAGCGGACGTGGCCGGTATAACTACCGTTGTGGCCAAGCTTAAGGACATGCCTGAGCGGCTACAGCGTGTGGTCATCACCAAGACTTTTGTCAACCGCGAACTTGCTGATTTGCGTCGACGAGCCTCAACTCCCGCGGTTGACACCGGGTCTGATGTCTTCAATCTTGTCTCGTGCTATAGCGGCGAGGGAATGAAGCGCCTCGCGCTTATGTGGTGAAGCGTTTTAAGAACTGGAAAGCCAGAGGCCAGTGGGCCAAAGAAAAAGAAGCTTGACAAGGAGGAGTGACCGTTTGGTAAGGGACAGAGAGAAGGGGCGCTAAAGGAGAAAAGGAACAGCCGTTGGATGGGAAAAATTCACGGTCAAAGCGTGCTAGTTAGCCACCATTCAAAGAAGTTAAATGCGGTTAGCCCGGTGGACCGCGGTTTCCCAAGGTGGACCCGGTCCTTCAAGATCGACCCTGGTTTATCATTGGTAGACCTTGGTCTTTCATAACAACAGATCTAGGCCTCTGGTAGATGGACCATCGACCCCAGTGCCTGGACGTCGACCTAGGTCCCTCGTCAAAGGCCAAGGTTCTTCGTCGGTATACCTTGGTCCCTCGGTCCCTAAAGGTCGACCTTGGTTATTCGTCAATATACCTCGTTCCTTTGGTCGATCGACTCTCGGCCCCGGCCGCTGAGGTTGGCCTCGGTACACTGATTCAGATACCCTAGCCGAGCAGAATCAAGAATTAGGTCTCAGGGTAAAGGTAGAGTAAAGAAGCTAAGAGATAGGACCATATTAATACTACTCAATTTTCGATCTATATAGCACACCTCCGTCGTGCTTCCAAGGTACCTACCTACTAAGCCTACCCACCTGTTCTGGGATGGAATATATTTTGGCCCCCCCGTCGAAGACAGTTATGTGGTAATACCCAAGTGTGAAGAGAACCCCAGGCTACATTTGGCCTGTGGGTTCGTCCGAGTAGCACCCCCCCCCCCCCCCAAACTCAACCCGCTATCGGAAGCGGTCTACCCTAGTGGTTCGGGAGCAAGTAAAGGCCAGGCAGTTAACACCCCTGAGATATCAAGGAAGGATAAGGCCAAGGTTGAGTATCATCCCTGAAGAATTTGGTTATAAGCCCACCCGCGATCTAGTCGACCGATTGGCCACCTACCCGCCTCCCGAGTGAAGTATATCCACTCGAGGCACTCCAAGGTCGACCTCTCTCAAGGCCGACATCACATCTTAACCAAGTCCTTCGAAGAGTGCAACCCATCAGCCGACGGGTACACAAGGTGAGAGAAGGTCAATATGCGGCATCGGGGTACCCCCTTCGACAGTCGGCAGTCCGGCACAATGCGATGGCTTGGGGTCTCATTATGCAGATTGAGAACACAATCCACCATAATGGTGCGCGTGCCCAGATCTTCGGAACGCAGGATATCACCGCGAGTCCAAGAAGATGAGGATGTTCAAGCAAAGATTGAGGAAAAGACCGAAGAGTCACTGGAAGACCGATTGCGAGTGACTACACAAGAAAACAACAAGGGATCAAAGGACCGACCGGACCTTGGAAGGGGCCTGGTCAACATGGTCAAGGTTGAACTTATTGAAGATAAGCCGAAATACCCTCCCTATGGCCACGTTGAGGACACCTTGGGTCATGTTATCTATCATGCCCCAGAGGACTATCAGTCGAAGGTGAAAACCGATAGACTATTGTCCCCAAAATCTACGAACATACAAAAATTACAAAAAAATACGATTGCCATGTCCAAGCCGACCCAGCTCCGGGTGAAGGCACCAGGTGACACAAAATTGGTAGGCCTCGCGACCTCAGGACATTTGACCTGGTCGGATGCCGACGTGACCATGGCCTACTATCGACGCAAGCATAACGCGTTCTTGGAGAGCAACCCCATCACAAAAGATTTCGAGATTCGACTGCTAGGTCAGCTCAGTGGACCTGCGTCAACCCTTCCCAAGCTAAGGACGGTGACAGACGCGATCACCGCGCTCGTGACCATTCTTCGCGAGGCGGGTATGGTCGCAGGAAGGTTCGAGCCTAATGACCTGTTTTCTCTGGGGTTAAACAATGTCAAAACCACGTTATAGATAATACGCAAACGTCTGGGTATCCTAGTGGGAACAACCCCAGTACTACTCGACTCACCTCCTGCGACCGCCGCAAAAGCGCCGTCTGACGACAGCCAGATGACCTTCTACGACAGCGAGGTCCACCCTCGAGAGCAATGGTCGACCGAGGACCCATGGTCTATGCGAGGTCTATCACAGACCACCTTGCCTCAGGGTCCTCATGCAAGGTGGTCTGTGATAGGCCTCCCTGCAAGGCAATCGTCGCGAGGGTCGTCCGTAGCTAGTCACGTGTGCCGAATGCCACCAGAACCGACTGGTATTTCACTGCTTCAGGCACGAGCAGAGAACGAGCAGCGAGCTCACAAAACGGCAACGCGTGTACAGCCAAAGGAAAGTCGAGCTTCTGATAGGTCAAATTTTCAACCAATCAGAAATGAGCCAAGACTAGTACCGAATTATACCTCGTCACGTGACGAAGTTGCCCGGGGAGGAGTGTCTACCAACCCGGTAGGTAATTTACAGGCATACTTCGATGCGGCGATGGCGATATTCCAACAAGAACGCCAAGTACCGCAAACACACATCGATGGAAGTGCGGCCAGAGGATTACAGAAGACGCAGAGGTCAACGGCCCAGCTGGGACCAAGTGCAGGTATGCAAGATGCAAGAGACTAAGGGATGACCGAAGTGGATATAAAATCGGTCGGGTCGTGTGAATACGACCCGGATTACATGGACCTCGATGGACCTCTGGCGAGAATGGCCGATGCCACCTTGGGACAGGTGCCCAACATGGTCCCTCGTATAAAGCTCTCAGCGACTCGGATCTCAGGGAGTTTCATGGTAAAGACCAAGATAAGGACCGAGGGCACGCAGCTGGATGACCACTATGAAGACCTCGTTCACGAGGGACCAAGCGCGAGATGGGGAAGAGTGTCTCTTTTTGGAGGATTATTGATTGGACCTGCCCAGAACTGGTACCGTCAAATGGATCGCTCTGTTTGAGGAAATCGGAAGGACCTACCATAGGAATTCCAGATGTAATTCTGTGGTTTGGGGTTACCAGTGGCCCTCCAATATTACCACGCAAAGAAAAGATCGGACGAGCCTGCTGGACTACCTATATCGTCTGAATGTCATTGGACTTTGGGCGAAGATCAAGATCAAAGATGGGCCGCCCAGGATTAGAAAGGGATATGTTGAGCACTATATCTATACCTTATATGACCCAAAACTGGTTGACCAGCTGACCGTGTTACTTTTCGCTGATGTGGAAGAGCTAGAGGACGTGCTGAGGGCGCCCCAACGGCAAAGGCCCGACGAGGCAAGATGTTGTTCGGGTCGAGCAAGTTTTTCATAAGGCACCGATCATCCCTGATCGGCCAATAGAGATAAAACGCCGCTCTGATCATGCAGTTCGAGCGACACGGGAAGGATCGGGCTCCGAAGACTCCAGCTTGGACAGTTCGGACAGTGACGGTGACCTACGGAAGGTCTAATTCATGACTACGAAGGCGGAGAAGGACCTAGGGCTGAGGACCCTCGAGGGACCAACCTATCAAGGAGGTCAATCAGCCTCGGCCCTCGACCAAGGACCTTGGGAGACCGATCGCACAACGTGTACAAAAGGTGGCCCCTCAATTCAAAGAAAATTTGGTCGATCTGATTAAGGGACTAATATTTGCGAAGATCATTCAGCCCTCTACCTTGCCATGGGCCAGCCCAATTGTCATAATTGTGAAGAATACGGAGTGGATATCAGGTTGTGCATTGAATATCGGTTGGTTAACGACTTGAGCCAGCTTATGGTCTACCCTATGCCTCTGACCAACGAATTGTTGGAGGACTTGAACGGAGCATTGTGGTACTACTCTTTTGTCATCTTCTGGATAGAAATTTAGCACACTCGTGGCCTTGATCTAAGTAATGGTGGATATAGCAAGTGTTTTTTGGGTCGTCGGCATGACCGAAATGGCGAGAAGTATCTCGGCGTTTGTCACCCCATTGGGGTTGTTTGAATGGATACGGATGTCATTTGGACTCAAGAATGCGCCTCAGATATATCAGAGACTCTTGGATAATGCTTTGTATGTTTTTTTACGTATCTCCCAAGGAGCTGGTACGGAGGAGACCGAAGACTTGTTTACGATGGGGAAACCTGATGTAAAGTCGGGTCCCTCGGTATTGGGTCGGCGATCCTATATAGATGACATTTTGATACCGGCCGACTCGTGGGATGCGTTGTGCGAAAAGATAGAGCAACTGTTAAATGGGTGTGACTATTAGAATTTATCGATCAGCGCGGTCAAGAGCTCATGAGGGTGCCGGGAAATAGACTACCTTGAGCACCGCGTCTCGGATCAAGGACTAGAGGCCCACCGAAAGGCCCTCCAGTCCCTGGTCGACCTACCGTTGCTAACGACACTCAAAGCCATACAATTTTTTCTCGGAAGTCTGAATTACTACGGTAGATTCATTAAAGATTATGCAGTGTATGCATCGATCCTCAATGAGCTACGGGAGATGGATTTTCACGATTGGCGATGTAAGTTGAGGACGGGTGACGGTGTGGTGGCTAAGACAGAAGACGAGGAGAAGTGGTCCAGGGGCTAAGTAGCTTTCGCTTTGCTCAAGAACAAGATTGCCACTGTACCTATCTTGCGACACTTTGCTCCGTCCAAGATGGCAGTAATTATCCTTTATAAAGTAAATGGGCCATATCCGCGTCGTTGGTGCAAGACCATGGTGACATCCTAATGCCGGTGACTTTTACGAGTCGGACCCTTAAGGCCAACGAATTAAACTGCAGACGGTGGAAAAAGGAGTGCTGTCTTTATTGCGGATAATGGAGACTTGTTTACGATGTTGGTCACTCGACCCCTCAAGGTCCTGACGAGACATTCCACATTGGCGTGACTAGTCAGGTCTACGGGGTCACAGGGACGTCTTAGAAATTGGGCTGCTTTCTTGTCCCAATGGACTGTGGAGATTGTTAAGTGCAAGAAAGGCGAGGACCAAGTACTGGGGGGAGCTTGCAGCCAGTATTACTCCTCGCGAAAGTGTAGACTCGATTTTGTCGTCAACTGACCCAAAGAAACAGGTACGGCAAGTGGTTGACCTGCCTACACCAACTG